CTATGTAGTCTTTGTTTGGCTAATTGATGAGATCAGCCATTACAAAAGAGGAGGTTGAGTCAACTGGCACCACAGGATTAGTTTGTTGCAGTGGAGTTTTGGTCCTAGGAAGTGGCTTGAGACTGGTACTCCTTGTCTTGTCCTGCTAAGTCGGTGATTTTCATATCAAGGCCTGGTTATCACTGGATATTCTGCTCCCAGCGCCAGCTGTAGAACTCCTTTGTCTCCGGTTTCAGCATGTCCCACACTAAAGTCCCCAGTTCTCAGGTACTTGTTGCAGGAGGGGAAGCAAAACGGTTGGGTGGGTTGCTGAGGCATCTCTTTAGTTCATCAGCAGATGTCGTTCAACTCTGAGATGCCACAAGACAGACAACAGATATCCTGAGTGCCAAAGTCCATCACTTATCTCTTGGATTGTTCAAGACAAGCACTGTACATCCTGAATGCCACAACCCCACACCATGGGAGGTAACTGTTCCCAAAGCATCCCAAGACTCTGTGGGCAGCCTGGGCTGGAGCAATGAGTTCCTGAGGGATTGTACCTTGTAGGAGGGATTCATATCAGAGGGACCTCTGTGGCATTCAGAATTTACAGTGCTTGTCTCGAACAATCCGCCTCTTGGGAGAGGTGCCTTAGGGCCGTTGGAGACGATTACCTAGCAAGTGGATAGGCTTGAGGGATAGGACTGTTTCCTATCTATTTTATTTTTTGGAGTTCTGATCCGCTGAAAAGAGGGTTGAGTTTTGTAATTGTGAAATTAGAAGTTAAGCGTGTATATCCTCTCAAGGAGTGTTGTTGGTGGCCATGGTGAAATCTAAGTTGTTGCCCTTCCTGAGACGTTTGGCCCTGATTTTGTGAGTTAAGTAATAATGGAAAAGGAGATTCATACGGGGAAATCCTCCCCTAGTGTTGATCCCGAGATACTGTTTAAGATTTTGGAAACTTGTAATGCCCGCCCGTCAGTCTCGGGACAGGACTGGGCTAAAGGAAATTGGTACAATTTGCAGAGTGTGGCAGATCGTATCTCTGCATTACAAAAGGAGGCCAAGTGGCGATTCAGGAAAGGGAAAGGCATAGTATGTGCTGTGCTTGGAGCCTGCCTGGCGGCGGCGTCACAGCATCCAGCTGACTGCCAGACCCAGAAAGGAAAAGTTATCGAGTCTTTGCAAACATTAGTCGGGTCGTTACAGGACCAAATTGCTGGCCTTGAAAGAGAGAATGTTGAGCTTCAGGAAGAATTAGCAAGTGAAAAGGCTCACTCAACTCCTATCTTCTCCGTGCTCCTCTGAGATAGGAAGGGGGGGTAGGTATGGCCCCGAGTCAAGGCCTGCAGATAGTCCTTTCTGGGATAATTGCTGAGATCTCTGCATAACGAAGGGGAGGATGAGACGACTGACACCACAGGTTTAATTTATTGCAGGGGAGCATCCTGCTCCCTAAGAGTCCATCAACAGATGTTCTTTCTCAGATGTCACAAGACACACAGCAGATATCTTGCACTTATCTCTTGGATTGTTCGAGACAAACACTGTAAATTCTGAATGCCACAATCCGCAACAGGAGCTGCGGGAAGCTAAAGCCCGACCAGATAAAACTCCACAGTTATGCCCCCTGATTAAAAGGGAATACTATTATGAGGACCTGGATGACCAACAGCCTTCCTCGGTAACTAAGGAGGTCCCCTATTCAGCCACTGAGTTGGCAAAGCTAAAGAAAGAATTTGGATGTAACCCCAAAGGGTCAGAAACGGAGTATGTGTGGCGAGTCTCTTTGTCCGGGGGTGACCAAATTTTATTAACTGAGAAAGAGGCCAAAGGATACTGGGGACCCGGTGTGTTTTTAACTACTGGTGACCAGAGGGCCCCGTGGTCACTCACACAACGCGCCGCTTATTGGTCTGGTGGATTAGACCCCCTAGAGAGGGGGGACCCTTTGGCTATTGTTGGAACCATGGAACAAATATTAGAGAGCGTACAAAAAGCAGCCTGTTTGCAGATGATGCACAACCGGCAGCTGACTCCTTGTCATGAGTCCCCAGTATTATTATCAGTGGATCCAGAAAGAATGACCCCATTAATTCGTAGCCTCTCTGAATCCCTTAGATCTGTTGGGATTCAACTGCAGGGACAAATTAAAGCTGCCAGCCCACTTGAGCAACTGGAAGAGATCTTAACTCCAGATCGTAACACTCGAAAGTCAAAAACATGGACCTGGGGGGAGATTGCACAGGAGTTGATTAATTATGGCCGGAAATATGGGCCAGCTAATCCCACTCCTCATCAATCAGAAACTAAAGCAGTCTGATGGGCAAGTTCGTCCCCTCTTGATAGACCCCCAGGAGAAAGATTTAGGTGTCCCGAACCTAACTTTACTGCTCCAACGACAAGGAGAGACTTTTGGCATCTTGGTTGGTAAAAAGGGATTCCGCGTGATTTAATGGATGGGACCCTCACAGATGTGTTGAAAAAAATGGTGACTTCTTGGCCAGATAAAATGCCT